AGGGAGGGCTCTGCGGCGCGCGTCACTCCGCGCTGGCCACGCCCCCAAGGCCACGCCCCCCCCGCCCTTAAAGGAGCCGGGCCCGGGGAGCGCCCGGCACTGGAGGGGTTGCTCGGCCGCCATTTTGGCGCGGGCGTTGGTTGCGCCAGGCTGGCCTTCGCCTCAGGAGCCCAGAGCCGGGGCCCAGAGCCCCATCCGCTCGGCCCTGTGGCGAGGAGAGTGTCCCAGGCAGGGGGATCTGCCCTGTCTTGGAAAACTGAGGTAGGCATTGGAAATGGAACTCAGGTCTGTGTGCCCAAAACAAATACGGGGATAGCTCCAGGGACAGACGGAGGCTCAGACCTTCAATTCCTCTTCTTGGCCCTCCCACCACCGCTCGCCCCTTACTGAAAAACTGCCCAGTTTGCACCTACGTATTCCCAGAAGTGCTCTCATTGCCTTTCCTGGAAAAAAAGAGGTCTCAAAACCTGAGAATCTCATCTGTGGTCACCCCGTTTTTTATGGGTGTCATTTCAAGTGTGAAAGACTGAAACTCTACAAACGTACAGGCTGGAAAAGCTCCCTAAGTATTTATTTACTTCTGGAAAGTACATGTCATTTTCACACAGCGATGTGACATCTTTCTGATGCAGCATGTGACAGCGTGCTGCACAATTTTGTTTCACTGGAGAGACTAAAAAGCACTAAACCACTAAGCTAGATCTGCTTCCCTGTCAAGAATCCCTGTTGTCTCCCTGTTTGTTATTGTTTCAATTGTTTGTTTCACAACTGGAATTTCCTAGTCAAGATGACAGATGCTATTTCTTTCCAAAAACCTTCAGAAGCAAGAGAAGCTATAGTTAAATAGCATTGCTTGTAACCCAGCTACTGCTTATTGGTACAAGCAATACATCTCATTTTCCTTGCTAGTACGATCAGAAAGGCAGACCGAGTCCAGTCTCATCTGCAGGAGCCAGGGAGACAAATCAACTCGGGTTTCTGCTCTGCTGTTTCAAGCACTGTTACAAAACCAGTTCTCTGTGATTCAAGGTATTGCAGCACTACCTGAGGCTAACGCCTGACTGAAGACAAACCTTGGGCCAAGAGATTATATGCAAATACTTTTGTGTAGCTATGCAACATTACAAAGCCAGGCCCTGAAAAAATTGTGCAACCTTGCAGCAGGGGGACAAGCCATCGCTGTAGAAGCGCTGGCAAGTCTCACATCTCAGCAGTATAAATCAGCCTGTACACAGCTTCATGCTGCCACTGCAGTGTTGTTTCTGGCAACCAACCTAGCTGGTTTCAGGCTGCAGTCAGGAACGCAGACACCTGTAGACATTCATTATAGACACAACTAAGTGCCACTGGACTTTTTATGTGCTTTGTCAAGAGTTTAGACTATAAAAAGTTGGAGATGAAGTTGCAAGTAGAACAAGCCAAACACAGTATTTCATAAAAATCTTGTTTGCATGCTTCAGTGTCATACTGATTGCCCAGTTTGCAAGTGTGAACAAAATTTAATCAAGTCAGATTAGCTGCAAACTTGCCTGAGCGTATTCTCCCCAGTCATCTACCATTACTTTAGCGATCTTGGAATTGGTGTTGTATGTCTTTCCCATTTTTGGCCTGTTGATCACATCTGATTCTTTAGCAGCTAAAAAAATGCACATACTAACCCAAGGAGTGAAACTTAATGCTTACTTCTCAATGTTTTTGATGGATGGGACAAAGAGAAAAGTGAATTTTTGTATTTCATAATGTTGATAAAAAGTCAACTCCTTTGCTGTCTTGACTTGTGCTTTGAAATACCATAAAAACAGATCAACGGGCAAGGAACAGGTTTTCCTTTTACTGTGATTCATGTAGAAGCTGTAGCCGGCTGATGTGTACACATACTTACAATGGACTGCTGACAGAGAAACGGATGTTAACAAAATATGTTAAAGTACACACCCTAATTAAAAATTCATGGTGTGTAACATTTTGTATGAATAAAACAGATTGCAAATATTTAACAAGAGGCAAGTATTTTCATGGTTTCACTTCTTGAATGAAATGAAAAGAGTGCTCTTTAGTTCCTTGAAAACAGATTAATTTAGTACATGCTTAGTCATGAAAACATCAAAATAATTTCTTAAAAGTATTGTTTGTATATTAAAAATAATAAAAAGATGCTGTGCAGGCAATGAGAATTATATAATGAACGCTGCACAAACAGATCACTCTCTATTTTATTAAAATCCTCAAGTCTCTGGAACATGGAGATTAAAGATGTACTTCATTTTGTCATCAAGAACTAGCACAAAGGCTCCTCCTGTTCCCTAACAGATGTTGGAGAACGCTCCACAGAAGAAAGCATGAAGCCCCTCTTGCTCATACATTTTGATAAAACAGTCACCTGTTCCTTTATACTGATGTTTAGTCTCCCTGCCCTGCACACAAATGATAAGGACAAATCATTACTGCACAGAGAAAGAAACTTTCAACAGAAACAGCAGCATTTGTCTTTCTTTAGTTAAGAACACTAAGGAACTTTTTCCTAGTGTTTCACTTACTGCAAAGGAGTGATCTTTTAACTAATAAATATTTATCTGATGTAATGCTCCCTTAGCTGGTTCCAATAGCTAAATTTAGAAAGGCTGTGATCCTTCTGATTCTTCTTTTAAGCTGTACTGGGCACGTAGAAGGCTTAGGAATTAAATGAGGTCACTCCAGTCCTAAGGGTGCTCTGAATTGTTTCAATGCTATTAAAAATTCCACAGCTCCTTTCCTCCCCCCCCTTCTTTATTACCACTGCAATATTTTTCTACCAAGCAGATTTCAGTTCATTAGCAATCAGGAGTCTTGTAAAAATGTTAAGGACTTGATGTTAATGTAAAAACATACAAAGGGCTACGAAGGAGTGCAGTCCAGCTTTCATGTAGCCCACCTTGTTTCTGAGCATTAATTTGCTTGACAAACAAAGCAAAAAGGAGGGTTTGTTATTGACCTCAGCACCACATACACTAAAACTTGCTTCAGTGGTTACAGGTGAAGGAAATAAAGGACAACAAGCAGTCTATGTTCACATGTACCCGTATCACCGATTCTGTACAAGTTGGAGCTGAAGTACTGAACTCTCCATGTTTTTCTAAGTGCAGTATGACTGAAAATCATGGGAACTCTTTTTAAGTTTTGAAAATTTCAACAGTGAGGTAGAGACAGCCCAGAGGAATGTTGAGTAGCTGTTCTCTGCACAGCAGAGCACCTGGGAAATGCTCTTGCCCACTTTTGAACTCAGCATAATGATGACAGCAAATCTCTCATACTCTTGGGTAACACCACAGCTCTGACAAAGCAGTGAACTGTCAAACAATTCCTGTTTTGGAACTGCAGTCTCTTCAGGATTTGAGGCCTGTATTAAAAACTGACGCTGTTTTTTGTCTTCACTAGCAAAAAACACATACACTTTTTTTGGAGAGATTAATCCAAAATCCCTCTCTTAATGTGCAATTTCTACAGAGGATGTTTTTTACTTAATGTTGAAGATTTAACTTAAATTAACTACATCTTAAGTCAAATCCACCTGCAATATCAAGATAAGGTTCCAGACTCTATCATGGCAGAAAGATGTTCTTGTCTGCTTTAGGCTTTTGTGATACACTCTGCTGCTAATAAAGTGATGCTTGAATTGAGACAGTGTTACATTTTATTACATGTTCTGTTAGAAGTCAAGGTATGAGATTACTATATTCCTGACCATAATAAATGCAGGGAATACATCTGTGCTAAATATTCACATAAGTATAAATAAGCATAGTAACATAGATAAAAAACTATGTTAAAAATATTTTAATTTGAATTGGCACAAATATAAGCAAAGTTATTACTGCTTACCTGACAGAGATCAACTTCAATGAAAGCAGCAACTGTACTGTGCTCATTATTTCAGAAAGTTCTCTCATCTGTCAAATATATTTTAACTGAAGAAAAAAAAGGGACTATATTTAACTCGGAGCTTCCTCTTGGATCAGAATAAGTGTCATGAAAAGAAATGTATAAAAATAATACAAATCAACTTTATTTGTACCTGAAGCTTCAAAACTACATGACTGAAACAAGGACAACAAAAGAAATGTATTCATGCATCCACAGCATATATACATCCTCTAATTTTCATCTTCTTTTGTGCTAGTAAGCCCACTACCTGATTTAGTTGGATTATATTTTTACTAATGTTTTTAATTATATTTTTTAATAATCTGGATACTGTTCTCTATCCCAGTGGTAAGACAATTAGCATAAATACAGGCAATTATTTGGTAAGGTCTGAAGAAGCACAGCACTTACAGTACTTACAAATAAAGACAGCATTAACTGTAGGCCTACTGCTGATAAAGCAGATAACGCAGAATCTGAAGACAGTGACATCATATTTGGTCTGAAATGAAGTCACTAGTGCTAATGGCTTGTGCCCACCCTAAGCTGCAAGGATTTCTCTTTAGAACAAATCACCAGAGGCATGCAGGCATTATCTAAGAATCTCAGTATTTTCTAGGTTTTTTTGAAAGCACCGAAGCAAGTTCTGTGCCAAATTTACTCTGATTTTCTTTTGACTTTCTGGAACACTAAGAGAAAAGAAGATACTCCTGGGAAAAAAAAATCCAGATACACTTTTTTGGAACTAACAACTCCTTTGTATTATCAAATGGCAAAACTTCCTCAGGGATGCATGGAACAAGGTCCTGATTTTTCACAAGCATTTTCATGGGTTTTATTTACTGTTTGAGGATGAACTTCATAGCAGGAATTAATATTATTAAATGTACTTGAAATGCTACTAAACTACCTAGTAAAATTGCTTAATAGCTAGCAACAAGATCCAACATTAATTGCTAATAATACACTGTCATACCCATTGCATGCTGAGAAATAATTCTCTGTTTGTATTGAGCTTTGAAGATTACTGATTCTACCTTACGCCTGAAAAACAGCTGTGTGCCATAAAGATTATTTTTCTAACTGCATTAGCTGGGCTAATAAAGGATATTAGTCTACCCCCAAACCTGTCTTACTCTAATTATCTAGCTTCTGAACAGGAAAGAGAAAACAGATTCTGTCTTTCCGCTAAAAGCTCTCACCAAGCCCTGAACTGAACACACTTTTACCAGGCTTCCAAAATACTATTATTTAATTTTTCTTCTTGTCTTTCTGGAAGTTTCTTTTCTTTTTTTTTTTTTTTTTTTTTTTTTCCCTGAACAGAGTCTCACCTGCTGTAAGGCTATACAGTCCTTCATTTAGTACATCAAACTTCAAAAATTAGTAATTTCCAGAAAAGGATACCAAGCTAGACCATACCTGTATCATCATGTGTCTCCTGACAGTATCAGAAGGGTAAGACAGCATTGCTGAGCAAGAAGTCAAAATTTCAGCAATGAAAAAAGGGAAGACTGAATGAGATTTGCTTTGGATTTGGTAATAATCCCTGCAAAATAAAATAAAAAATGGAAGCCTGTACAAACTATGTAAAATGTATGTCAAATCCAGCAGATACGAAGTATAATTTTGATCATTTGTTGTTAATCCTACTGTAAAATTACTTGACCCTTCAGTAATATACTCTGTTGAGCACACACAACTATAAAGATCAAGGTTGTAGCACCCTCATTAGTTCATAGTAAATATTTAAACATCATTATAAGGATTTAAAATGTGTGCATTTTTGTTTGCAAAAGTTACCTCAATGGTGCCATAACATCCCAAATAGGAGGCTTGGTATAAAATGATTCCCTGTACTGAAACACCAAAACCTTGGTACAGGCCAGGAAGCCCATCTATCTTTGCAGGTGTAATAATACAGGCACCAAAGGCCCTGGAACTGTCACTCAGCAGCACCTAATCTCAAAAATTACATGCATCATTATGCTTTACAGAAGCCCTTCTCTTTTGTACAAGCTACTCTGCATGACTGAAACATGTGACATTATCAATACTGTATGAAAAACATAGATCCTCCATCTGTGAACAGAGCATAAAGAAGAAATCAAGACACATGGATGAATGAAGGTAGTTTATTGAGCCAGAGTGTGGTATCCAGTTGCTGAAACACTTTCAGGTGTAACTACCATTACAACTTTGTCCTCATTCAGCAGAATTCTCTTTTCTGCTCTCTGGAATTAATTTTTATTACATAATGCCACGCTTTCACTTCCTCCCCACACGTTATTCAGATTTATTCCAAGTGTTATGTGTTTCAGCTATTCCCTATCGTGGAACACTAGGCACAAGCTGTGACAAAGTTAAAAAATCTGCTTATTCTATCTGTAGATTTTTCATCTGTTTTCACATTTCACAGGTAAATACACCCAAGCTCTTAGGATTCTCTACAGGTGCAAACAGAGCAAGCAATAAACTGGTCTTTGAAGGAAGAACTTCAAACTCTACTTCTTACACTGAAGGTATCATGAACATATTAATTCAGCCTAAGAAAGGGCACAGAAAGCAATAGGTGAAATCAAGCAGCCAATTCCTAGGACAATCCTGCACAGCACAGGCAGTAACTAGAGTTAACTGGTCCCATTACAGGCAGATCAGGAAAGCCAACAACACAGAAAACAGATTTTTTTCCTACCTGCTGCAAAACATTTGGACACTGGAAATTAATTTTATCTATTTGAATGAATGAAATTTACATCTGAGACATATACTACCCAAAATCTTTTGTGACTCAGATAGCAGTTAACATTATTCTTATCTATGATCATCCAGTCCTCCAGAACAATTGGCCTTTGGATCTCCCTCATACAACAACTGTGCATCAACCCTCCATGATGGGGGAATGGGAAATAGAAAAATGAACACACTTCCTTTCAGTGCAGCCCATACTGCTCAAACCAAGACAACCAGAGGAAAAAGCTAATCACACTAGAAGAAACATTTTGCGTAATATTTTTAGATAATTACATGGGATATAGTGCTGTTGACTTAAACAGCCTCCCAGGTACATCTTGTGTATTAAATGCAGACCATATCCATGGTACCCAGAATCACCTTCTACTTGCTGGTTCAGGAACAGCAACACTGCAGCTGTAGGGGAATGGAGCCCAGTATAGCTTTATCTGCCTTACTATGTATCAGTTGCACAGAAGGCTGTGCAACCTGCCATAGTTCATACTGCTGAATAAACAGTTGCTAGTTGTAAAAGCATCAGGAGAAGGGGCAGCTGCAACCTGAAGATGCTTGTGTATGCCATTATTATCTTCAAAATGAAGCGTTTAGCGTGGAGATGCAGCCTGACTTTAACAGAAATGTCTTACCACTTCACCATCTAACTGCTTTAGTAACTGTTACTTTTTTTAAAAACAGATATTCCAACTAAGCAAAAACTATCGCCTGTAACCATGTTGTTTTCCTCATTTCCTATCCTGCACCAAACACACAAGAAAGTATCCAAAGACCCTGAGCTTCTACAAGGGATATGCTACTTCGCTAAATACTGTACTAATCTTGAGTGCTATTCATGGAATGCTTCTAAAATTTTGAGTCACAAGCTCATACACATGTAGGCCATCTGGAAACACTTGTAGGAGACAGAAAGGAGATTGGAAGAACTATAAACATAATTATTTACATCATGCATGTTTTACTTTTTCCACTGTAAGAAAGAAAATGGCAACCTTAAACTCCTTACATACAAAGTGGCTGTAATCAAAAAAGGACTGCTTAAGAATTTGCATGCAGTACAGGATTAATCAAACTTTAATAACTGACAGCATTCCTCCTGGCCAGTACCAGCAGATAAGTCTGTGGGAATAAGTTTCTGGCACTGCAGTAAAAAACTGTCAGTGAGAGAAAGTACAGAACATTGGATTTTTTGTTTAAATTATCAAAACCTAACCAAAGAAATCCTAAAGCAGATAACCTAAGGCAGACAAAAATAAAGCAGATTTTCCAGTTATTTTCACATGAAACAAGTTAGATATGAAGAACATGTTTTCCGTTCTGCTGATATGAATGAATTTTATATATTTAATCAAATGCCAGTATCAACATTTAATTTTGGTCACAAGACCAAAATTTCTTGTAATTAATTCCATGGGTGTAGACCTCCATGTCTTTCAGGAATCTATCCAAGTTATGGGACTTCTCCCAAGAACACAGAATTGCAAGGCAAGGCAGCACAGCCCAAAAGTTTAATTGCCTTTTTGAACTATAACCTAAAACTGTTCCTTTTCTGGCAGATTGTACAAAACTAGGTTCTTAAAATGTTTTAACTATGATTAAGTACATTTCTAGCTTTTCCTGTAAGAAGAAAACAATTTTCAGTCTGAAGCATTACTTATCTACAGCAGTAATATGCACTTCACTGTGTCTAAATTTTTTTCTGACACTTAGGTACCACTGATGATCAAGAAAATAATGTGAAAAAAATTAAAATGAGAGACTCCTGCTTGAGGGACACAACTCAAGAACTTCACACATTAGAATAAGCAGCAGTAATTTCATGTGTGTGAAATTATTAATAAAGGTTTCTGAAACTAGAGTACATGTTAATGCCCTCTTAACTGTGAGAGTGTAATTTGGGCTTTTGACAAAACCCAGAAACATAGGTGTCCGAGTCCAAGATTTTTAGTATCTACCTTAATAATTGCATCAATTAACTCCAAAATAATTACAAGTCTTGAAAAAATGTTGAAAATTCTGACTGCAGTTCTAAGCAGTTACTGACATGCACCTCACAAAATCATTAAAAGATCAAAAACCAGATTTCATCACCTTCAGTAATAAGCTACACAGTAAACCTTGGTTACTCTTCCTCCTTTAAGCTCATCACAAAATCTTAACAGTATACCACTGCTCATTAGCAACCATGCTGAGAGAAAAAACTGCCCAACTCTTGACCAGATCTAAATTGTTTATTAAAAAGAAGTAACATGCAAGAGATTATTTACCAGCTGATCAACTTTGGACATGAAAATCTGTTTGTATTTGTTCTTAAAAGCAAAGTTTAGAGCCTGTGTTGGGAAATACTCTATAATATTTGCTGAATTGCCATGCCAATAGCTGAAAAATCCAACAGAAAAAGAAAAGGATCTTTATAATTTGTAAATTTGATACTACAACAAGTATATTTTACAATATTCCTACTATACTTTCTACTTCTGTATGAGCCGTAACAAAAGGCCAAAAATGTTCCTTTTAATGTTCTTTATTTTTCAGGCATTTGGTATGGGAAATCTGTGTTTACTCTGACACCAACAGACATACATTCAGTGTCAGCACCAGAAAATCTAGAACTTTAGTGAAATATCCATAATGCTGACAAATAGGTAAGATTTTCAACTTCCTTACTTCATATGTTTCTAAGACTAGGGAGAGCTATGTAAACTGCCGTCTGGAAACAGAAGAAGGTTTCATGGAACTGTAGAAATTGTTGTCCTGAAGTGGGCTGCCTGTGCATTTTTGCTTCTGTAGGGGGTGCTCAGATTCCATATTAAAGCCATGACAATCGGCTTATAAAGTATCAGAAACTTGGTAGCACTTTTGTAATTACATTTTTCTAAATTTAAAAAAAGCATTCCCCTGGACACCAAGATAAATGCATAAGAAACTAAATGGAACTGAGGAGGTAGTGCAGGAGCAAATCCTACGTAGATCATGAGAAAGAAAATAACTTATGTCCACAGAGACTGGACTGGCTGTTAGACTTTGCTACGCAGTGACAGGCAGCAAAGTTATTGCTGTAGCATGTAGCCATGCTCTTCATTCAAACATTTTTGTTTTCGTGTTACCATAGATGAAGGCAAAGACACCTTACAGACACAGAAAACTCAAAACTGGGTTTTAATTTCTTAGTCTGATCTTGCTTTTCTATACATTAACATGAGGATGCCAATTAAATGCTAATTTTGTAAAACAATGAAAGGAAAACATTAAGGATATTTTATACAGTCCACAACTACCAACGAGCATGGCTTTGCTATTACCAAGTAAACAAAAAAATCCAGCAGGGACATACCCAGCAGCAACCCCATCCTCACCATCTCCTCTACCATCATGCTCCTTTGACTGCCTGTGGCCCATGATGGATGCTCCAGCATGGTCACTTCAAAGGCATATCTAAAAGCTTTTGTTTTTACGAGAGAGAGCCTTTAAAAGACTGAAACTGGAGACAAACATCAGCAAAATTATTATTTTTCCATACAGAGACATACTTACATGCACACACTCATATAAAAGTTCTGTAAAAGCTGTTAAACCTGCTAAAAGCAGTGCAGCAAAGACTGCTTCCTTGTTTATGCTCCTTCCACCTACAAGGTGAAATAATAGTCAAACCCAACATATTTCAGACTTTTAAAAAGTTGCTGTTCAAGTGTCATCCTTATTATTACATGTTCTTATTTTTCAAACAGTAAATCTCACATCACTTGACTTACAGATGGGGAACAGGTCTAAAGCACTATTGATAAAACTCAGTTTTGTATGTATCAAACTGAAATACTGTTTCTCATTTTCTAGGACCCACATATTCTAGACATGGCTGAATAACAAAACGTGCAATCATATGCTTAAACTTCAGGCCTAAGACTGTTATTGCTTGACATTAAAGCAATTCAGGACAGGCTACCAATCACTCTGTGAGACTAGGCAGTTATAAGCATTTGATTGACTATTTTAGAACTACTCTAAACATTGTAATTTACTAGTGAAAACAAGATCTAAAGATTTGATCATGAGAGCCTATGGAACTGAATTTATTTTCCTGAATACTTAAACTTTTTGATCCCATTGTTTAAAACGCAACTTTAGTCATGCGTTTTATGAAAAGCACTAATGAAAAGCAAACAGAAAGAGCAGAATGAAAAAAAGCACTGTTGACATGGAATATGATGATCTAAAAGTGCTGGCTGGGGGCAAAAAGATTTTAAATTAAACATTAGTTAAAAAAGCTCTAGGAGCAGCTTCTCTATAGATTACAAATATTTTATCAATTTGTAGGAAAGCTGTATTTTGTAGAATTCTGATTTTCCAAACATCTTGCCTTCTATTGCCTTCTATGGATGTAACCTAACACTTCTTGTAATATGCAGCTGTAAATTGTGGCAGATCTAGCTAAACAAATACTGTTTAAATAAATGAAAGAGAAAAGTAAACAAACCAGAATAACACTTTATTGGTCTTTGACAAATATACATTTTTTTATTATGAAATTATGAATATAATGTAAAATTAACCAAGTCCATAGGTCTTAAAATCAGCATGCCTCTGCCCCCATCTTCGTTTGTGCCTTCAAAATTGTGTTTTAACCAATACAATATAGTTAAAACTCATGAAGTAAAATACCAACCACACTGTAGTCTTCCAGTGTGCAAGAGACCATACTGGCAAAAATTAGAAGCCATTAGTTTTGTGTGGCTAAATGCCACGAATTAGCTGAAAAATTTATTTCCATTTTGATTAACACAAAGTTACTGAAAACATACAGGATTTTTCATGCCCTTAGAGGTGCAAAATTTAAACTAATTGGAAAACTATTTTTTTTTACCTCCATCACTACCAAATATTCAGAGAGTACTTTGAGGATATCAGCTTGTTATTTTACATTGCATATTACACACTGAAAAGCAGTGAATGTACAAATTTGGTGATGTTTTCATATAATGAAGTTATGGTCAAAATAAATAATTTGACAGTATATAAAAATAAGAAACTTGGTTCTCTGACATGTTCTTTAAGTATTCAATTCATGAGATCATTAGAATAATCACTGAAGTTTTACCTGTGTTATACCACAAGGTAATTTAAATTTTTTTTTAATGCATTTCAAATGTAGGCCATGGGAGGGCACCACAGTTAACTTTTCTTTATATTGAAGTACTTTTGAGATGGCAACACCCCGCAGGCGGGCTGAATGTTCAGGAAGCTCATCTATGTAGCTAAGCCGAAGGACAGCTTAAAGGCCAGTTCAACAGCAGCTTCTGTGACTGAATCATGAAAGCACACGTAACACTCCTGAGGTTTTGGATGCAGAATAAGTCTCCTGGGAAAAATAAAATAAAATAAAATTATCATAGGTGGTAGCTTTTTCTCCTCAACTATTCGATATATTTGGGTGGCTGAGGTTGCAGTGAGGTATTAAAAACTGCTGTGTAAGACAGCTAGCAAGTTTCTGTGGCTCTCCTGCATGTTTCTTTTTTTCTATACATTAGATTTTTCAATCAAGTTACTCTCTGCTCAGTTTCCTCAAGACTGTGTGTGGAAAAAATTGTTCAGGTTTCCAGGATACGTTTGTATAGCACTGGTGTGTTTGCAGAAATCCAAGTTTCCAGGCTACAAGCTGCAATTAAGGTACTTGGAAACAAGCCTCAGTATTCACATATTTACTAATCTTTAAATTTAATACATCTGGTTAGGTACATTCCCATGTGTCAATCTAAGAAACTCTATTACGGAAAGAGCTGAAATAGGAAAGCTGTTAATACCTGTGCATAACTGTGTGTAGCATTATGCATAGCATGTAGCTCTGCAAATACTAAAGGGCTGCGCCCGATGTAACACATTGTTTGATAACCAACATATTTCAGACTTTTAAAAAGTTGCTGTTCAAGTGTCATCCTTATTATTACATGTTCTTATTTTTCAAACAGTAAATCTCACATCACTTGACTTACAGATGGGGAACAGGTCTAAAGCACTATTGATAAAACTCAGTTTTGTATGTATCAAACTGAAATACTGTTTCTCATTTTCTAGGACCCACATATTCTAGACATGGCTGAATAACAAAACGTGCAATCATATGCTTAAACTTCAGGCCTAAGACTGTTATTGCTTGACATTAAAGCAATTCAGGACAGGCTACCAATCACTCTGTGAGACTAGGCAGTTATAAGCATTTGATTGACTATTTTAGAACTACTCTAAACATTGTAATTTACTAGTGAAAACAAGATCTAAAGATTTGATCATGAGAGCCTATGGAACTGAATTTATTTTCCTGAATACTTAAACTTTTTGATCCCATTGTTTAAAACGCAACTTTAGTCATGCGTTTTATGAAAAGCACTAATGAAAAGCAAACAGAAAGAGCAGAATGAAAAAAAGCACTGTTGACATGGAATATGATGATCTAAAAGTGCTGGCTGGGGGCAAAAAGATTTTAAATTAAACATTAGTTAAAAAAGCTCTAGGAGCAGCTTCTCTGTAGATTACAAATATTTTATCAATTTGTAGGAAAGCTGTATTTTGTAGAATTCTGATTTTCCAAACATCTTGCCTTCTATTGCCTTCTATGGATGTAACCTAACACTTCTTGTAATATGCAGCTGTAAATTGTGGCAGATCTAGCTAAACAAATACTGTTTAAATAAATGAAAGAGAAAAGTAAACAAACCAGAATAACACTTTATTGGTCTTTGACAAATATACATTTTTTTATTATGAAATTATGAATATAATGTAAAATTAACCAAGTCCATAGGTCTTAAAATCAGCATGCCTCTGCCCCCATCTTCGTTTGTGCCTTCAAAATTGTGTTTTAACCAATACAATATAGTTAAAACTCATGAAGTAAAATACCAACCACACTGTAGTCTTCCAGTGTGCAAGAGACCATACTGGCAAAAATTAGAAGCCATTAGTTTTGTGTGGCTAAATGCCACGAATTAGCTGAAAAATTTATTTCCATTTTGATTAACACAAAGTTACTGAAAACATACAGGATTTTTCGTGCCCTTAGAGGTGCAAAATTTAAACTAATTGGAAAACTATTTTTTTTTACCTCCATCACTACCAAATATTCAGAGAGTACTTTGAGGATATCAGCTTGTTATTTTACATTGCATATTACACACTGAAAAGCAGTGAATGTACAAATTTGGTGATGTTTTCATATAATGAAGTTATGGTCAAAATAAATAATTTGACAGTATATAAAAATAAGAAACTTGGTTCTCTGACATGTTCTTTAAGTATTCAATTCATGAGATCATTAGAATAATCACTGAAGTTTTACCTGTGTTATACCACAAGGTAATTTTAATTTTTTTTTAATGCATTTCAAATGTAGGCCATGGGAGGGCACCACAGTTAACTTTTCTTTATATTGAAGTACTTTTGAGATGGCAACACCCCGCAGGCGGGCTGAATGTTCAGGAAGCTCATCTATGTAGCTAAGCCGAAGGACAGCTTAAAGGCCAGTTCAACAGCAGCTTCTGTGACTGAATCATGAAAGCACACGTAACACTCCTGAGGTTTTGGATGCAGAATAAGTCTCCTGGGAAAAATAAAATAAAATAAAATTATCATAGGTGGTAGCTTTTTCTCCTCAACTATTCGATATATTTGGGTGGCTGAGGTTGCAGTGAGGTATTAAAAACTGCTGTGTAAGACAGCTAGCAAGTTTCTGTGGCTCTCCTGCATGTTTCTTTTTTTCTATACATTAGATTTTTCAATCAAGTTACTCTCTGCTCAGTTTCCTCAAGACTGTGTGTGGAAAAACTTGTTCAGGTTTCCAGGATACGTTTGTATAGCACTGGTGTGTTTGCAGAAATCCAAGTTTCCAGGCTACAAGCTGCAATTAAGGTACTTGGAAACAAGCCTCAGTATTCACATATTTACTAATCTTTAAATTTAATACATCTGGTTAGGTACATTCCCATGTGTCAATCTAAGAAGCTCTATTATGGAAAGAGCTGAAATAGGAAAGCTGTTAATACCTGTGCATAACTGTGTGTAGCATTATGCATAGCATGTAGCTCTGCAAATACTAAAGGGCTGCGCCCGATGTAACACATTGTTTGATAACGCAGAGACTGAAAAATTACTTTTTACAAGGTATCAACAGCAGTGTAGACATGTTTAAATTACAGAGTTCAGTTTTTCCAACCCCAGACATAGCACACAAACTGCAGTTGTGTACAATCATGGTCAGAAGTAATGGCTTTTCTTTTTTCTTCGTAAACTTCTGACTTGAAGGCAAACAGGTTGAACAACAGTCCTGTTAGATATTTTCTAAATTATTATTCCTGGCCAATATAATGACCAGTGGATGATGTTTCCTCTCATTATATTAGAAAAAAAAG